AAAAAACAAAAAAACCCCAAAAAACCACAAAAAATCCAAACAGGAACATTTAAGCTTTCCTATCTGCAAACATCTAGTAAGCCACGGGAATAATGTTTTCATCCTGCCTGACAACCAATTAACAGTTTCACTTCCCTTTCCTTCATGGGTAGGCATGAAATGCAGGTGTCAGACCTAAGGAGTTCGGTCAGAGTTCTCTGTGACGTGACCATGGGTTAAAAAGCAAGAGCCTTTGACTAAACGGTGACATAGCTGTGGAAATCTCAAGTTGATGGGACAGCTGTATACAAGGGTGAGCAGATGCAGTAGCAGCTACTTTTTTTCTGGAAATCCCTTTATTAAGGTGTTAATTGATGACTGCAGATTGAAAAATTGTATTTTTGTGTTTTTAATTCCTTTTGTTTTCAGTAAATTCTGCTTTTCCGCTTCACCACGCCCACCAAAAAAAAAAAAAAAAAAAAAAGAGGGTTAAAGTTATGCTAGGATTCTGTGCCATGGATAAAATCCAGGCCCCTCCTTTTCAACTTCAAAGGAGCCATTTGCAATGGAATGAGTGTCATTTGGTGGTGGAAGCAGGAAGTTATTTGGGCAAGAGGCACACATAAGTGAGACTAGAGGAGAGGCAGCAAAACCTGAGGACTGGTGCAAAAGTTTTTCCACCTATGAGAGCATGCAGGTTATTTCAGCTGCTGGGATACAGCAGGCAGTTGCAGGGCACTTGCTGCCTCCCTGAGAGGGAAGCTCACTTCTCTTGGCTCCGTGCCCTCCTGCCCTGCAGCCCCCATAACCCATTAGAACTGAATCTGAACACAGTGGTTGATGAGTTCAACAACATATAGAGGAGCACCACACTGAACCTAGCAGTATATCAAAGCTCTCCTCTCTTGGGAAATTCGGACTTCACCTCCTACCCCAGCTCACACAATTCCAAAATTCACTTGTGCTCTACGTGGTTTAATGAGAAGAAAATAAAAATGCCTCTCCTTCCCACCACGAAATAGACCTTCACTTTCATAAAGAGAGATGTAGTCCTGTAGTCCTGTCACATTCATTTCTGTGTACAAAAAAAAATCTCACTATATACCTTTTCTCCATCCTCATTGTTGTCTTTGCGTGCAGTTTTTTGGGGTGTAATTTATCAAAGTTTTGCTTGCCTTGCATTCCTGCAGGCCTCATTTGGATACAATATATACTTGCCTTACTTCAGTTCCTGTAGACAGTGATGTATTTGATCTGCTGGCCTGAGATATGCATTTCTTTCAGAAACCCTAATGTAAACACTGGGAATAGTTTATAGCTATGAATCAGCATCCAATGGCTGTGATGATTTAAAGCTATAAAGAACTGATATAAACCCCCCTCCCCTGCACTCCAACTCGAGTCTTAAGGTGGTTCTCTATTCTATTCTTGAAGCTACAATTAGAAATACTACTAATAAAAAAGAGCTTTTGGTTTTTTTTTTTTATTTTTCCTCTGTTTTCTTTTTTTTCTTTTCGGTTTTGGTCAAGCACAAGGAAGTATTTTTCTGCTGTGCTGACTAGTTTTTTTTCTGCCCAGCAGATTTGGAGCTGAAACAGAGTCTTGCTGACAGGATTTAATATGAGGAAGTTTTGCAATATGTTTTACAGCTGTTGTAAAACTTGGTGAATGTCAGAAGGTAGCTGCTGCAATAAACTTAGGTATTGTTGGGAATATCATTTGAACAAGATGCTTTCCCCTTGAACAAACACTTTATTTGGTACAGGGTTCTTTCAAGACATCCATACTAATTGTTAAAATCTACCATTTGATGAGCAGTGTTAGTTTATGTGCACTTTAAAGAAGTGTCAGAGAAAAACCTTGAAAATTGCATTCTCTTTCCAAAGGTCAGCTGCTAATAAAAAATAATGAATTGCTTCTTTTTGTTTTTCAAATTAATTTGTCCAACATCCTAAAAATCTGAAATATCTATGTGACACTGAACAACGAGACAAAAGTCTGTTGTGTTTTGCTTTGTTTTCAAAAGGATTTCAAGAGTGAAACCTGTTTTTATACATCTTGTTAACACATTTCACTGTACTTGGCATTTTGTCAACAGATGAAAAAACATGTTTGTTTTAGCTGGCAAGGCTGCTCAGTGTATTGGCCTGAGCAGAATTCTGAGCATCTGGATACCTGGAGTTTATTCACAGCTATGCCAGTGCTCTGCTGGGTGACTCTGAGCAAGCACCTCTGCCTCTTTGCTACCTGCTTCCTTCTTATATCTCATATCTAGTCAGCTGGTGAACACTTGGAGCAAACACTTTCAAGAGATTTTTATCTGTACAGTACCTAGCACAGCTGACTCCTATCTCATTTGGGATCTGCAGGTGCTTCAGTCATGCAAGCAGTAGAAACATAATTAATAATGTCTAATAAAGTCTTGTTTCCTTTTTTTTTTTTTTTTTTTTTTTTGTATTCTCAGAGTCTTTCAAAAACTGGAAAAGACAAATCTCTGGTTAGCTAGGATGTAGTCACGGAATGCCATGTCCTTTCCTGTGACTCTTGTTGTGTGTCCTTGCAGTCACTGGAGTCAAAACAGAGGAAAGTATTGTTTTTTCACCCTCTTAGACTGGAGAAGAGTAGAGAGAAACCAGGGACATAGTTGAAGATGAATCAGTAATAAACAGTAAGTAGCTAGTGACTGTTTCAGTGTCTCTGTGGTAGCCGGAACTCCTACAGCTACTCCTAAATGTACATGACTAAGCAGCTCTGTGTGCACTTCTGAGGAACAACTGATAGTAAGGAAAAGGTAATACTATACTAACACTATGTAGACAATCAATAAGGTCCTTGCATGTTACTGCCAGCACCTTCCCTGTTTTCTTTACTTACCTGTCCTCAAATGAGTTTTGAGTTCTCCACATACGCTGTTTAGACAACGGTTTTACTGCACTGACTGGAACCAAGTTACTCCTTCACATGGGTATAAAGAAAAGTCAAACAAGGCCAGGACTAAATTTGTGGATGTAAATTCCTAATCTGCTTCTCTTTGTTGCTCTTTTGAGCAATACAAGTGTTTGAGACTCACTGCATGGTCAGTGTTGGCAGATGCATGTGTTCATCTCAAGTGCTGTGCTCTTGTAGCAGAATTAAACCCACGTTAGTGCTTTCTGTGACATGCTGACTTCACTGGCAGACAATTTTATACTTCTGCAACTCAGAGCTAGGGTGAACGTGAAGAATGGATGGCACTTCACAAAAACTGTCTTATGATCTGAACTAAATCCTGAAAACCTGGAAGCTTATTTCATCAGTTCATCCCAAGCATGTGCAGACTTAATGTAGATACCTAAATAAGCAATTAGTCCTTCAAAAGTGTTGTGTTTTTAATGATTCTGATAGGATTTGCTGGCTCGCTATTTTAAATTAACCGATAAGGGCTTGGAAACCTAACTCTAAGACAATTATTTCAGAAAACTTTGGACAACATCCTGTAACAATATTAATTATTCAGAATCAACAATCAACTATTGAGTGTAAATTTGGATGATGTTCAGTAAACGAGGTGTGAGATCACACTAGAGTGAGTACCAAAGTATAGTATTTGTAAAAATGTTTTTAAATATTCTTAAAGCTATATTAATGGAAGTAATTTAAATTTGGACAGCTAATGTTTTCTTAAGTTTCACCACTTTATTCTGGAGTTTCAGTATTCTTTCAGTGTAGGCTTTTTATAATAAAATGTACACTGGTCCTTTATTATATTGTGTTATGAATTAAATTTTAAATTATAAAGTAAATTTAGAAAAAAGTTAAAGTTAAAATGCAGTAGTCACCTTAGCCAACTGAGCTACTCTGTGACATGTTAACCCTGCTTTTACATGCTTGGTCACTTGCAGTCTATTTTACTAATTCAAAGAATTTACGACATGTCTCTCAGTCATTTCCAGGAATTTGAAAGAGCTTGTTTGTTTATTCTTACTTGCAACAGGCTTCTCCACAAAATTCTTCAAAATATACCAAGGACTTTTTCTCCTCTGAAACAAAACTTCAGGCACCTAAAAATAACAATCTTTTTTAATGGGCTAATTAGTGCATCAAATTATTGCTCAGGCCCTTTATCTGAGACTTTGGGTAAAATCCAAATGGAAATGAGCTTGGCCAGTGCATTTTAACCTACATTTGTCAGCCTCACAAAGTCACCATGTGATTTAGCCTAGTTGGCAGCTCTGGTTCAGAGACAAGAAGGGCTGGCATAGCTGAGATGCTTCAGGCAGGGAAGACCATAGCACTTTGACAGGACTGTGCACACACACTCTCACTCCTGCTCTGTGTGTGTGCTTCCAGTCCCTGCTCTCACTTCCACCCAGGCAGCAACATCATCCTGGATTTAGTTATCTGAGTCTTGCAATAAAACTGACTTTTAGGAAAGCAGTAACATCCTCCTGAACACGGATATGTTATAAAATGAATAACAGCCTGCTTCCAAAGCAGAAGGACTCCTGGCTTGGTCCTGTTATTTACAGCTTGTGGCACCCCAAGTTAAGCGATGCTCAAGTACCTCTCTTTGCAGTGTGGCCACCCTGGGAGGCCATTCCCAGGAGACACATTGAGATGGGTGATGTGGCAAGTGATCTGAGCACAGTAACAGACGTGTTGGGTTTGAGCTCCTGGTCCATGGAGAGTGGGCTCTGCTGTGCCAGCTCTGGAGCAAGGGTAGGGATGGCCTGACTGTTTTGGCTGCTTTCCAGGACTCTGATGAGGAGATACAGTATCTCAAGAATCCATCGTGTTCCAAAACACAAAATAAATAAACAAACCAGGATATTTTAGGTTCTGTAGCTGTTGCATCACAGGAATGGCTGGAGAAAAGGTTGTGTCTCATGCCAGCCATGAAAAGGAGGACTTAAGTTAAAAAAAAAAAAACCTTTACAAGTTCTACCCTAAGCCACAGTTGCATAAACTCCATGAGATATCAGATATATTGTAGAAATTCCCCCTTCAGTTACAAATCAATGTGTTTTGTTCATTTTTTTCAGACAATTGATCTCATGGTCTATGGAATGTTGTGTATGTCACTGACAGCACAGTCCTTGGTAAGCTTGATAACTCGCAACACAATAAAATCAGCAGCAAAAATAATAACCATCAGTCTATAAAGACCAGGATGAACATCACTGACAGAGATGGTGAGGAGAGTAGACAGAGCTTTGAGAAGAAGCAAGTAAATGTTTGCAGAGCTTTGAAAACAGCTTATTAGTTTTTAAGAGGTAGAGGTGAATAAAATAAAGAACTGAAGCTATTAATAAATTACCTGTCATTACTTAAGTCAAAAAAGAGGTCCTGTGCAACTATATTTTCTCAGCAATAAACCACAGAAAGATATTAGCTATTTTATGACTGGTAAAATATTTGGTAGAAAAAAATTGTGCCTCATGTTTTTATTTGTCACTGAAGACTCATAAGTATATTGGTATATATATAAATATATATATATATATTTAGTCATACTCTGCAGACTTTTGTAATTTCCTAAAAATGTCTTACAAAACACCCATGGAATATGCAGGGAAATTTTCATTGACAAAAAAATAATCAGTTCTTCCTATTTATTTTTAATGGATCCATTTTTTTTTCCCACTCCAGAAAAATACTTCAGGATACACTTGGTCTCATACAAGATAGTGAGAGATGTGGCCAAAAGCAGAATAAAGAGAGAAAGTATTTTAATTTACTGGAATATAAAATTATCCTTGAGGGAATTTTCAAGGTTTCTTCTATTTTCCATTAGAATCCCTCTAAAGAAGTAAGTGTTAGTAAGTGTTAGGTTTTTTTATGATAGAAGTTGTCAGTTCATATTTAGTGCTAAAATGTTTAGGTAACAAGTTTATGCTGAAGTAGAAAAATAATACCAACTGTATTTCTTTTAAAAGCTACCAAGATCATACATATTGAGCATATCTGGTATATAAATGGGAGATGAAAGACAGGAAAAAGAATTGCAATTTAAAAGAACAGTATTTCTATATTTGTTTCAGTTTTGATGAGAGCACAAGAAAACTAATTTTTGAAGGCAGTATTTTCATTACTGATTCACTTTTTAAATACATTCCATTTGGATAAACACCCTGAAAATATCATTTGTTGTTCAACACAATTTTGCCATGAAAGAATTGTTAACAAAGCTGAGTCGAATTACAATCTAGATGTACGTGAGAAGCTTACACATCCAGAACTGAGAATGTAAGTAAAGTTCTGCACCAGACTCCAGAAACACAAAAGAAAGTCACTTAAATAACCTCCATCTTTTAATAGCTGGGTGGTTGAACAGGGCAAACTGTATGAACTAAAAGAAAATCTCTTGGTACTCATAGCCAGAAAAATCTCTGCAGCCTGCTGTGCTCTACAGAAAGCCAGTATTTATGGTGCTGTGAAAGTGTTGAGAAATAGTTTGTGTAATCTGCTGAATTATGGACAATGGCAGCTACCTGTATATTAGGAAGAGGTTCAAAAGTAGGTTACAGTAATTCTATTAGATAAAACTTGCTCTTTAATACATAGGAAGAAAGAAGTACGATTAATTTCTTTTTTTTTTCATTATGTTAGTATCTAGGAATGTTAAGATATAAGCAAAAGTAAATTGCTTTAAAGACAAACATTTAGAAGTGACAACATAAGAATAAAACAAATAAGAAATTACTGATCTCCTGGTAATAGTGGTAAGTTTGGTAAACAGGTTTTAACAGTTATTTTCTATTATTTCAAAAATCAGACTTAAGGTAGAATGTACATGAATGTACATTAGCAATTTAGTGTTTATAGAATCATCTATAGCATTGCAAAGAGCAAAGTGTTAATATTATGACTAAGATAGAGATTGTGCAAAATGTGCTACATAATTATTGTCATTGTTACAATCCACAGAATTTTACCAAGAGCTCTGGCCTGTTATATTGGCTGTCTACCAACAGGGACAGTAAATTGCCTCACAAAGCTCATAATTTAAACACATCTAAATAGTTGATTAAACATTATTTTCCTTAGTAGATGCTTTCTGAAGTGACAGCTTAATTAAGCAGAGGATTTCTGTCAGGACCTTCCCTCTGATACAATGAGCACTTAATAAGAGTGTGGTGCCCTTGCACCAGAGCGACATGAGCAGTTAATGCCGCTGTATATCACACAGAATCACAGAATCAATTAGATTGGAAAAGACCTCTGAGATCATCTAGTCCAACCTATGACCAAACACTGGACCATGACACTAAGTGCCATGTGAAGTGTTTTCTTAAGAAAAACACCGCCAGGAACAGTGACTCCATCACTTTCTGCGCAGTCCATTCCAGTATTTAATCACCCTTTCTATTAAGAAATTCCTTCTATTGTCCAATCTAAGCATGCTCTGATGCAGCTTAAGACTGTGTTCTCTCACCCTGTCACTAGTTGAAGGGGAGAAAAGGCTGATCCCCACCCAGTTACAACCTCCTTTCTAGTAGCCGTGGAGAGCAATAAGGTAACTTCTGAGCCTCCTCTTCTCCAGGTTCCCTCAGCCTGGAGAATTCATAGTTTCAGTTCCCTCAGCTGCTCCTCATGGGTCCTATCATCTAGACCCGTCACCAGCTTCACTGTATATTGTACCACTGTCTTTACAAATGCGTCATCTGATGCAGAGCTGTGATGTTAATTGCAGGAAGTTACACACAGTGTCAATAGTGGTACTAGAGATTGAAGAGTTCATGTGGTCAAGTAGCAGCTACTTGGAAAGAAAATTTTAAAGCTTATTTGAAGTTACGATAAACCTCCACTTTCTATGTCAGACTCATAGTATCTTGTTTATCAGACTACTCTTGATCTGGTCAGCAAAAAGACTGCAATGTAACCAGCAAATCCTATTTCACAGGATGCACTGGCAACAAGACAATCCTATTCATTACACGCCTTCTCTGCAAAAGTTACCATCAAGATGTCGTCATTTGTCACTTGTGCTTTAGGAAAAATCACAACTGAAGCCACATCAGGAAGTTATGGCTCCTTATCACCGTCTCAGTTTCCTCAGTGTTTGAACACAAAGTTAATTATGCTTTAACCACAATAAATACTCTTCAATAATCATATTCTATTTATAAACCAACATCCTTTGTTCTCCTATTGCATATCCTAATGCAGTGGTTTAGCTGGGTTTGTTAAAAAATGAATTTACGAAGTTGTAAATAAATCTAGTTCACGTGCTTCCTGATTATCATCATCATAAAGGTCATATCATATTATTTGTACTCCCTAGGGGACAGATTCTCAGGTGATCTACAATGGCAAACTGTTTGACTTGAATATGATTTCAGTGACTGATACCAACAGAGGATCCTGCCTGTGTATTAATTGGTTACTTACCTGACTCGTACTTCCAAGGGAAGGAAATGGTAGCATGTGGCTGAGTTAATTACCCAGCCAGAACAAAGAAACTGAAAAAGGGTTTAGGTTTGATGTAAGTAATAATTTTTTTGCAGTGAGGGTAGTGAGGCACTGGAACAGGTTTCCCAGAGTGGCTATGGATGCCCCATCCCTGGCAGTGAGAAACCTGATCCAGTGCAAGGTGTACCTGACCAGGGAAGCTGTGTCAAACTAGATGTAAAGGCCCCTTCCAACCTAACTCATTCTATGATTATACGCAATTTAAGCTGCAAAATCTGCACTTTGGAAAAGAACAGCTCACAAAGAGTGAAGCAATGAAGAACATGTCTCTTGGCAAAGTTCCTTTAGTAAATCAGAAGGTCTAGATGCAAGTAAGGAATTGTTTATTGGGGGAGGTCCTGTGGTGTCTATTAAGCAGGATGCATTACCAAAATGGTCCCTTGTGCCATTCAAGTCTATTCAACTGAGTCTGTGAATTAATGAATATTGTGAATAATTTATGTAGAAGTGTTGTTGCAAGAAGGCAAAAAGCACTAAGGAGTAACTTCTGCAAAGTTTAGCTGTACACAAGGGTACTGTACACTGGACATGCCTGCTCTTTGTTGAAATTGATGGGAGTGGTGAAAATTTCCACCTTTTTGCAGACAACGGTTTGAGGTTACCATTTTGCCATTTCCAGGGAAGACTATAGTTTCAGCTGTGCTAAGAGCAAGCAATAATACCTGGAAATGAAATAACTGTTAGTAAAAGCAGTCCACAGCCAAATGCTGCAGCTAGATCTGAGAGGAAAGACGCAGCACGACCTTCAGAGGGTCAGTGTTACAATTAAAAAACCCTGCCACATCCAGCTTCGAGATAATTTTTGGTTTTGGTTTCTGGAAGTGATCTGAGGTACTGAGTTAAAATCCCTGACAGAAATCAGAATTCATAGTGGATATTATGACTTTCTGAGTATGTTCAGATATTATCTCTGATTTTTCAAGTGGGGGGAGTGATTTCATGGATTTGCTGGGGGAGGGGTTCTGAGTTTTTTCCTTTTTTTTTTTTTTTTTTCCCCAAAAAAAGGATTTGCTACTTGGCTTTGTTAGGATATGTGGTAGATTTAGAGAGAATGAGAAATTTTCAACTTTTTTCTGTCCCCTGATGTATTAGTGAATGTTAGAAAATTTGCTATATTATGGCAGTTTTATGCCTCTCACCCCTCCTGAAATATAGCGCAGAGGTCTTGATGATATCACTAATGATGAATTTGGTCTCAGATTGTTATCTAAATGTATTATTTTGCTGCTTTCCAGTCTTACTTGAATAGTAGCTGGTTTCTCAACCCACCCAACCCTTTCTGAGTGACTTAAGAGAAAACAATCTTGCTGAGTTTGCTTCATTGCTTCAGGGAGGGTAAATTTTATAGGGTAAATTATTTTCTATTGGCCTAGATGAATCCAGTCTGCAGAACCAAAAAGAGAAAAAACCCAAGCAGACAAGGATGTCTAAAAGCCCATTCAGGCAGCTTTAACCATTTATTAACCTTTTCTAGCTGTATATGAATTTGATTTTAGGTCAAACTCTATAATTTAAAAATACAATTTTATTGTATTGAAAAATAATCTGCCTCACATCAATTTGGCATTTAATCACATTAGCAAGCAGAGAGAAGGATGATCAAAACTGGATGGTTATCATACTATTAAGTTATTTTGTTTTATTAAGAATGAAATGACTTGCATATCACATGTCAATACTTTTGTTATGAAACCATGGATTTTG